CGACCGGGTTGCACTGCACATTCCATGAGCAGCAGCCAAAATATGCATATACATAATTATGTATGTATGTGTGTTTGTGTGTATGTATGAATGTGTGTATGTATGAATGTGTGTATGCATGTATATTGATAGATTTATGCGAGTGTCTTCGTGTGTATGCCACGATGTGTAAGTGGTGTGTCCGCAAACTTACCGCTTGCATTTGTATGTATTCGTGCGTGGATGTGTACATAATTGTGTGTGAATGCGTACATGTCTACCTTGTTCTGAGTGCCTATATTTGTGTGTTTGTGTGCGTGGAAGGATAAGAGGAGAGGACGGCGTGGACCATTTAAAATGAGCATGGCGAAAGCCATTGAAGTCAGTTTTTGAGACAAGATGGCAGCAGAAGGCAAGCAGATGCAAATGCCAAAGGAAGGGATATACACACTCAAATTCCTTTTCCCACTTATACAGAAGAGTGGCAAGTACACACGCGAAAACATGAAAGTTGAAGACTCAAATGGGCATCGAAGCAGCCTAAAGTGCTCTGGCAAACTCAGCTAACTCAACTCTGTCTCTGTGTGTGAGTGTGTGTGTGTGTGTGAACCACAAAGAGGCCTTCCCACCACGTCCATACATAAAAAGAGGGCGAAGGAGACAACAAAACCGACTCGACGAGGCTGATCCACAAAAGGTGGCATCGTCATGCCGACACACTTTTCAATACGACCACTTCCGGTTGCGAAAGAGATGACGAGAGCCCCAGTTCTGGTGGTGCTCCTTTCGGCCGGCATGACAGACGAAGCAAAGGCAAGCCTAGCACCGAAACCGGAAGGCGCAAGCCGAATCCCTCTTCAGCACACACCCACCCACACACACACACAGTGCTCAACGGGCCTCTATTGCAATCGGAGGAAAGAGGCAATTGGTGCAAGAGATGTGTTCATGTGTCCAGTCACACCCCAAAAGAGGTGTACAAAGTTAGGCTGGTCACACCGTCGCCACCTGCCCAGGGGACGGCAGGTTCTGAAGACGCCAGCCGGCTCAGAGTGACACTGTAACCATGGCGACCGGAATTGTGGAGAAGCTCAAAACAATGTCGAGGTTTCGGGATAATTGTGGGATTAAGCAATCTCGTCTATGCCCTCCCCTAACCTTGATGATCCACGAATGACGTTAGGCTCTTTTGCAAGTAGTGTGTGCATTCTGACAAACATTAACAAACATACAAACACAAATACACTCGAATAGAAATGCTCTGATTTATATGAAAAAGAACAAATCATTTTACAATGCATAGCATGTAGGATAGAGCCAGATAGTCTCCTTGGCCGAGGGTAAACCCGATGCTTTTGCATGAATGAAGTGAAGGAGGATGTCTCGTGGACTGCAGAACGACGCAAATCAGCCGTCGTCCTACGATGAGATCGATCTACAAAGCTCTTCATACGAAATGAGAATCTCCATAATAATGTCATCTTAAGAGAGTCATGGCAACACATCTACTCTTTGCATCTGCAAATAGCTCGAAAACCGATTTTTATTGCAAATAATTTTGAAATTTGATTATACCTCCACGGCAGGCTGTTGAATCGCATA